GGTATGGGGGTGTTGGTCAGGTTATTGGGGGTTATGGACTCCCGCAAGACAAAAAAAAAAAAAAAAGAAATTGCGGGTTGCCAACGAACCCTGACCGGCAGGTGCTGATCAGTCAAAGGGCGCCAACCTTCGGGGTATGCAACACTAAATTCGAAGTTTGAGATTTGAGGCTTTTGAGCACATTAAAAAATAAAATAAAAATGGTTGGATTAACTTCAGTCGTGTAAGTTTTTGTGGTGATGCTGCAGTCAAATGAGAGTGGTGAAAAGGCGCAGGCAAGGACGTACCAAGACCTCCTGAAAGACCAGCATGACAAAGATTTGTTTACATATTATGCCACTTCACAGCTTGTGCTTGTGACGCTTGATGGCAAAATCAGGAATCTAAGTAGGTGCACCCTGCCGCTCCGCGGTCCCTGTGCCCCTTTCCTTTCCTTTTCCATATTTTCTCTGCCTGTCCTCACGTTGTTCTAGACCAGCACTGCCCGTGCCATTGACCATTCCTTGCTGTAGATGAGCACTGCCCCTGACATTGACTGAGGCCTGCCGTGGCACACACACTAGAATAAAATTTGGAACTTCTGAAAGAATCATGAACATATATTGAGTGGCAAGGTGTTAGGTGTAATGACCCGCCAAAACACAGACTGATAACACTGCTGATTTCTGGGATTTGCTCCTGGAATGAATGCTTTGCTGAGATTCCCGCGTTCTGCTGTGGTTTCCAAGTTTGTGTGTAGTGTGTGCGTGCCTGCTGGTTTGCGTGCCTGTCTGAGTGCTTGTCGGCTGAGTGTGTCTGACCCGCAAGGGTACTTGTTGGTTGAAAGGCCCCGCAGGGCCGGTACTTACCTGTGGCCGTGACTTTGATGGTTGCAGCAGGGAAACCACTCGAGTAGCGGGGGTAGGCCCGCGACACTTAGAGCAGCGGGGAAAAACACTCAAGTAGCAGGTAGGCCGGTACCACTCAAGTAGTGGTAGGAGCGTCGGGTGCTGGAGGCTGAGCAGAAGACAAAATGTTGGCATTTTTAGAGGCCCAGTAGCGGTAGGTTAGAGGTAGGCCGGTACCAGTCCAAATAGCCTGAGTCTAGGGCCTGTCCGGACGGTAGCAGAGCCTGGAGCTACCGGTTGCTGGGAGGCCACTCGGTCCAGGAAGTCACCGCCCAAGAGGCCAGTAGGCCGCTATATCTTCTGGAGGAGCAAGCAGCTCCTCCTCATTTGCGGTATGCAAGGATTGGCAACATGCTGCTGAGCCAAGCGCTGGACTTGTGCAGCGCTGCCTGGAGGTGAAGGGCAGCTGGCGCTCAGCCTGGCTATGGCGAGCAGCCTAGCTTGAGGAGGAGGAAGAAGGAGGGCGAAGGAGGATAGTGGCGAGGCACCTACCTGGCTATGGTGGACACCATCTTCATCACCTTGTTGGGCGCTGCATCTGGAAGGCCCCAGTTGGGGTAGTGCCGCACCGAGGAAGCTCGAGGCAGAGTCAGGCATGGCGGCTTAGTCAGCAGCGGCATAGCTGCTTTGGGTTGTCCTTTGGACAGGAGTGCAGCGCCATAGCTGCTTTGGGTTGTCCTTTGGACAGGAGGGCAGGGCCCTCAGTAGTCCGCCATAGCCTAGGCATGTGAGAGGAGGAAGGAGGGAAGCCATAGCTATGGTGGACCTATTGTGATGTCAGCAGTAAGAGGGAACTTCAGACATTGATTCTGGTTCATCCACTCATTGTCTCTACACTTATTAAAATCCCTAAGCGGTGAAATCTCGCATCCGGGCCGTTCGGCCCGATGGTCCGGATGCGCGCGCGGCCTGACGGTCCGGACGCGCACGCGATCTTAAAGTTTTAAGATCGTGCGCATCGGACCGTCGGGCCGCCCGACGGTCCAGATCGACGCGCGATCTTAAGATCGCGCGAACATCCGGGCCGTCGGCAGGCCCGAACCACGCGATGGTAAGATCGCGCCCAGCAGGCAGCCCCAACGGCCTTGCCGAGCAACGGCCCTGCCGAGCTCCGGTGCTACCGACCTACCGACCTACCGACCTGACGCTACGCTACTATCCTAACGGACACGCTATGCTAGACTACCGACAACGGCCTACGCTACCGACAACGGGCTACACCACCGACCTGACGCTACGCTACCGACCTAGCGCTACGCTATCGACCCTCTCTCTCTCTCTCCCTCCCTCTCTCTCTC